ACCATCAGATTGGATTCATTCTGGTAAATAATACCCTTTACCAAGTAGTTGGTCTTTTGTAATATTTATCGCCCTCGCTATATTCTGTTGTTCTATTTTTGTGGCTTCATGCATCCACCATAATAACCATTGTAATTGTTGTCCAGCTTCTAGAACAGCTGACACCAATCCCTTCCAATCTTGGGGGATAACCCTATTCAGTGTAGTCCAAGGATTTAACAGCTCCTTAACAAGTGGAAAGTGCAAGCCATACAATACCAGAGCCTCTTTAAGATGCTTTGGATCTAGCAAGTCTGTCAAACGCTAGGTCATCTCATTATAGGCAGGAGTACCGTCATTAGCAGGTATTGTGCTTTTTAGTTGTTTTTTTTTCTTGTATATTTTAGACAGCAATCCTCTGTTAGATGTACAGATGCCAAAGACTTATTTCGTAGGCTACCTTTTCAACTAATTCAGTTTCCTTGAAGTACAGAAGTCTTCAATTTCACAAAATTCCGTTTGTTGATTGCTCTTATTTCCTGGGTGACTGGCGTCCGATTCACAAAGTCCTTCTCTGAACCCGTGTTCTCATGTATACTCCCTGCTCCTCTAGAAGCTTCACACCCAACGTTGACTCATTGGGAGCTGATTGGTGTATAGAATGAGAAAGAAGGATCTGGTTTCACTCTTTTTTGTATAAATATCCAATTTTCCCAACACTATTTGCTAAAAATGCAGTCTTTCATCCACCATATGTGTTTAATATCTTTGTCAAAAGTCAGGTGCCTCTAGGTACATGGACTTAAATCAGGGTTCTCGGTTCTATTCCATTGAGCAGTGTTTCTGCTTTTGTGCAAGTATCATCCTCTTATTTATTTATATTTATGTATTTATGTATGTATTTATTTATGTTGGTACTAGCAGCACTGTTTTTATTGTTCAAGATTATTTTGGCTATTTGGGATATCTTGTGTTTTTTACGTGAATTTTAAGGTTTGCTTTCCAATTTCTGTGAAGAATTCCATTGGAAATTTGATTAGGATTGCATTGAATTTGTAGATTGTTTTTGGCAGAATGGCTATTTCCACAATATTAATTCTACCAGGTTTTCCTGTCTTCTTGTGTCTTCAATTTCTTTCTTCATTCTTTTAAAGTTTTCATTGTATAGATCTTTGAATTCCTTGGTTAGGTTTATTTTAAGGTGTTTACTTTTTTTGATGCTATTGTGAATGCCTGGTTTCTTTCTCAGTCTGTTACTGGTGTATAGGAAAGCTATTGATTCGGGCATGTTAATTTTGTACCTTGCCACCTTGCTAAACGTGTTTACTAACTCTAGGAGTTTACTGGTGGAGTCTTGGTGCTTCTTTGGTGAGAATCATGTCAACTGCAGAGACACATTGGCTTCTTCCATTTTTATTTATATCCCCTTTATTTCCTTGTCTTATTATTGCTCTAGCTAGGACTTTGGACTTTATATAGGAGTAATGAAAATGGACACCTTTGTTTTGTTCCTGATGTTAGTGGAAATGCACTCTGTTTAACAGGATAGCAGCTGTCAGTTTGTCATAGATAGCCTATGTTATGATCATGTAGTATGTTCCCTCCATCTCTAATCACTCCAGGGTTTTTATCATGAAGGAATATTGGATTTTCTCAAAGCCCTTCTCTATGAATTAAACTGATTCTGTGATTTCTGCCCTTAAGTCCATTTATATAGTAAATTATGATTGTTAATTTATATATGTTGAACCATTCCAGGAACCTTGGAGTGAAGTCAACTTGATCATGGGAAATAATGGTCTTGAATATGATTTAAAAATATTTTGTTGATCATTTTTATGTCAGTGTTCATCAGGAAGATTGGACTATAGTTCTTTTCCTTGTTGTTGGATGTTGGATGTTTATCTGGTTTTGGTATCAGGGTAAATACATAAAAAGATTTTGGAAGTGTTATTTTTCTATGTCATGGAACAATGTGAGTATTAATGTTAATTCTTTGAAAGTCTGGTGCTGAATCCTTCAAGACTTGGCCTTTTTTAGTTGGGAGATATTTATTTCTATCTAATTCATTATTATAGATATGTTTAGTTACTTCATTTTGGTTTAACTTTGGTATGTCCTAGACATCTAGAAACTCATCCATTTCTTTTGTATTTTCCAATGTGGTAAAATAACAAAATTTTAAAAATGTCCTCTTGATTCTCTGACACAGTCACATTTAGAGCGCAGTGTCGCTTGTGTGATTGCCTCAGTGCCGGGGCTCTTTAGGCTTATAACATTCTTATTTTTTCAGGCCTGATGGTTGCTAATATGGATCTATATCTTAGACACCTGTCTCCTTGCTGTATTTATAGATCTGTAATAGAAAAAGTGTGCTTTTGGACACACGTGGAGCTTTTCTAATGGATGGAGACACAGAGAGAGGAGAGGCAGGAGTCAGTGTGATTTACAGTCACACAGTATACTCAGAAGACCCGGTTCCAAGGCTCAGGGTGTATGCTTGGGGCTGGAGAAGCTAGTAGGAAAGGATGTTGATATTTATTTCCAGGTGTTGACATAAGCAACAAAGTAGATGATGATGCCATTTTTTGAAGTCCATGTTACTGAAAGAAGACAAGATAAACTGAGTTCAGGCCACCTTTGTGGTTGATATCTTAGGGGTTTATGGCTCTTGGCCACAGTAGGATGATCAGGTCTAAAACACCCTCGTCGGTGTTGTTGTATATGTGACAAGGTCAGGTAGGCATAAGGAGTACCAAGCATTTTGCTGGTCGAGCCTCTTTTCTCAGGTGCAGGGGAGCTGTCCCTTTGGGGATGATGCTCCAGACCTTGCAGCCCTTGGTAACTTTGATGCATGTTTACATTTCAGAGGCTCTCATAGAGACTGTGAGAGATTGACCGTGTAAAATTGAGTTATGGGGTTTAAAGAAATAAAAATTGAGACAAGCTGAGGTGTAGAAGAGCAACTGAGGGAGTCACAGGCCACTCAGCCATGTCTGCCTAAGGTAGAGGTGGTGTCTGTGAAGTGGAAGAAGACGAAAAGTTATCAAACACCACGGAACAACTGTGGGTAACCGGAGGTCAGTGTACAGCTCGTCAAGGGCCAGTGCAGGACTCAGCAGAGATTTCTTGTGCTTCTGAACAGTTCCTTAGGGTCAGCGGGCAAGGATAAGCCATTGCTGGGGGATGTTTAAGCCAGCCTGGTGGAAGTCAAGGACATGGACATTTCACAGAACTGATACTGGGCTACCATAGGATACAGTGGGTCTTCTCAAAATCTGGGTGAGAACAGCATTGTAGAAGGACTGGAGAGGTCAGGGAATAGAAGTTATCTGTTAAGGTTTGAAACATTTGTTCACAAGGTTCTTCATGTTTTATTATTTTTGAAATAAAGTTAACGTGGTTGTGTTGTGTGTTTTTAATAGTGTTGTGTGGAATTTAGAGTTCCAAATAATGTGTGTTTATCTGTAACTTTAAAAATACTCACCCAAAATCAAAAAATCGAAACAAGCAAGCAAAAAGACAAATAAGACAAAAAAAATGCCCAACGAAAAATGAAACTAAAAATCCATAAAAAAATACTATTCAGTTTTGTGTTAGCCTTCCCTGAAGTGTGGTTGATATAATCTGGTGACAATTTATTGTAGAAAACAGGTTTTTCACATTGCTAGAGGGTATCAATTATGAGCGTTTCTGAGTAGAGATGGGACCAGTGTTCAATTTTCTTGATACAGAATCTCTCTGTGTAACTCAGCATGGCCTGAACTTGCCATGTATCCCAGTGTGGTCTTGAGCTATGCTTTTTAGGGAATCTGAACATTCAGGGTCCAGGCTTCCGAGTGCTGAGATTGTAGCCATGGGCAACCATGCTCACCTTGTCTTTCAGTTTCTCCTTTCTTGAAACAGCTGCTTTATTAGAGCTCATGTGTTACGATACGAGGCTAAGTCCTTCTGCGTCAGTGGCCGCCTTGCCATGCACACTAGGAGGGCTGACGTCATATCCGAGCAAGTGTGGGGAGCCTGCCCGGGATGCTGACACTGTTTAAGGATAGACAGGGAGAAGCCTCTGCACTCTGATGTCAGCACACTGGGCTGGGGCATGTGTCCTGTGTTCAGGATCATGGAGCTGTGATGTCAGTGTTCCCTGTGCCTGCAGCTCAGGTGTTAGCTAAGATCAGCTAAATTGCCATGTGTCTGGGTCTTTGTAACTTAGTTCTTCAAACCATTCTCAGTGTGATATGCACAAATTCCAGAATCCTGAGAGAACAGGCACATTTATAAGTTTGTTGCTAGAAGTCAGAGGCATAAAGCAGGGATCTAAACCTTTGAACTTACAGAAACAAGCTGTCTTTGTCTATCAGTTTCCAGGTTGGCAAGTCTGGTCTTTCAGTCTTTTCGAGGTCAGAATCTGTGTTACTTTAAAAATATTCATGATTCTTCCGTCTTATAGTCAAGACACATAAACTGGTAGAATTCCCATTTTATAAGAAAAAAAGAATACGATTGGTGTACTATCTGTGGAGTTCTTGGTGTTGCAGTGCAGAAAGCAGTTCTCCAGTTGGCCACTAGAGGCCTCCAGAGGCTGCGAGGTGCCCTTCCTGATGTGGTTGGTGGTAGATGTTAGTATCCTAGCCCAGTGTCCCCAGTGTCAAACAGCCTGTATTCCTTGATTTGAACCACAGAGGGAAATCCACAAATGTAGTCTTCTGGGAACTACTAGGAAAGTAATAGTTAAAAATGTTTCTGCAAAATACTAGAATGATTGATTTTTTTGTGCGCTTTATTCCAAGTTTAATATTTTTTAAAAACATAATTTTGAAAAGTCACTCTAAACATAAACTATAAACATTTAGTGCTTTCTCCAATCAACATAGATTTATATAAAAACATAATGTAAATTTGTTAAGCATGAATATTCATTTTCTTCCCTCCCAATAGACAGTTTCATGCTTTCAAATAGAAGCCTGGTTGTTGATGAGATGATATAATGTATTAAAATGCTATTGCTGTTGTGTTTTAAGGGAATCCGAGCCCGCATTTTGGAAACTCTGGTCATGCTGCTGCTTCTGGCGTTGCTGATTCTTGGGATGGTATGGGTGGCTTCTGCCCTGATTGACAGTGATGCTGCCAGTATGGAGTCTTTATATGGTACCTGATTATTGTTTTAGCTGGTTCCTATGATGGGCATCTGAGTTTGGGATACAGTTATATCTGTTTTGTTTTGTTTTAGACAAGATTTCTCGGTATAGCATTAAGCCTTAGCTGTCCTGTAACTTGCTTTGTAGACCAGGCTGGCCTGGATCTCAAAGGAGATTGGCCTGTTGGGATTAAAGGTGTGTGCCACCGTGCCCAGCATCATTTCAAAACTTTAAAATAATTCTTTGTGTGATTAACTTTCTGTTAACTTACAGAATTTAGATGTCTTTAGAGATATTTAAACAAAGCAGTGAATGTTATTCATTTGTTCAAAATACTAAGCAGTTTTCTATACATTTTTTATTAATTGGTTTTTGCTTTTAAAATTTAATGGAAAATTTTCTCCGTTTGAAACAGATTCCTCAAAAGGATTGTTTATTGTTTTCTTACTTTAGATGTTTACATATTATATTTAGAAATTAGACTGCTTAATACACTTTAAATAGGCAATTACAATGTTCATCACATATTACTACTTACTAAGATAAAACAGACTATTTTAATGTGCCACGCTTTGACTTACTAAAATGCGCTGATATTTTCACAGATCTCTGGGAATTCTACTTGCCCTATTTGTATTCATGCATTTCCCTGATGGGATGCCTGCTGCTTCTCTGTAAGTACTCTCCAGTGTGACACTGGCAGGAAACTGAACTTGTCTTGTACCCTGGAAAATTGTGCCAGTTTCCAAATGAAACTCCTTAATGACGGGGGCTGGTTTTTGAGTCGGCCCCTTTTTTATTGTTCTAGATGGATTTTAATAGGCAGAACCGTGAAATAATTAGGTACTTTGTTCACGAAGGAAAGCCTTTTGCACTGGGTTGAAGACACACACACATATGCACATACACACATATACCAGCGAACTCTTAACAGTATCCCATGTCCCGCCCCCACTCCCACTCCCACCCCCACCCCCGACCACACATTCTTTACATCTACTTCTAGGCCCAAGCACAACACTGGATCACTTTACATGGCAAGACCACAATTCTATTCGATGAATTTGTAGTCTTTATTTCAAAATCTGTTTGGTTTTACCGAAGATACCACACTCTATCTCAGGGATAGTTTAAGCTGTCAAACATAGTTCAAAGGACCTGTGACTATAGCCGTCACTCTTTTATCCTCTCCTTTGGCTCTCAGTCCTTCCAGGTGAAGTGGTGTGTGTGTGCCTTTTCTGGGTCCATTTAGTTTGTTTTCTGCAGGACTGTTCATCCCTTAGGGTCTTGACCATTATAGCCAGCGTTTGTTCTCACATTCCCTGGGATGTGCCGGCCCCTCACACTGCCTGAGATCTTCACTTAAATAGACAGTTACAATGTTTATCACGTATTACTACTTACTAAGATAAAACAGACTAAGGGCCTCCTGACAAAGTGCCTGGAGAAGCTAAGCTCGAGATGAGAGTACCTAAGACGCTCCTTAGGCTGCTTTGCCTGTCTCTCTGCATGGTGAGGACCTCTTTCTCATCCGTCACCTCGTTTCTACAGTGTGTACTCCAGTCGGCCTGTCCCGTATGTTCACAGTGATGGGTCAGTTGCTGGTGAAGCCAGCGGTAAGTATTTTATTTGTGTTTGCTAAATACTTATGCTTATATTTTTGATTATGTAAAAATATTTAAAAAGCTGAGGACAGTATTTTTTTTATTGGTTTATTATTCATATTTTTAATGTTTAAAATCAAGTTTTTAAACTTTGGAAAGAAAGTCTGGTTTTTTCCTTTTTAAAATACTAAGCACATGCACTTAAGTAAAGTTTGTATAAGAAAAATCTCAAGACAGATTTTTCAGGCATCTGTAAGTATCTGTGTTCACCACCCTGGATCCAACTGTGGTGGCGTCTGTTTCAAAGTCCAACACAGAGCTGACCAGGATGTGGAAGCCCCTGATTCTACAATAGGAGAGGCTTGGGGGTTGTAAGTTCATGGCTGTATGGGACACAGAGTGAGAGCTGTCTACAGCTAAAACAAATAAACCAACCAGATTCCCTAAACACACATAAAACAGCGACAAAACCAAAATTGCCTGTATCTATGCTTTGATTTATAGACCAGTTTCTGAAAATATATACATTGTGTTTGAATTATATTTTACCTCTCAGAAATGTTATATATTTATTTTAAAATGACGTTTAGTGGGTAGTAATATCTGTTCCTGTTTTTTTTTTTGTTTTGTTTTTGAACTATTTTTAAAGATATCAACTCCTTAGCTATGCCTAGAAAATCTGTCATTTAAGTTACCTCCCTATATCTTCATTGCCTACAAACTCAGTCTCAGCTGTCTACGTGTTTAGGGTTTCCCGGCACCACATGCTTCCCCACCCCCCACCCCACCCCTTCACAGACTGTCATAACATCTGAAGCTGCTTTGCTGCTGTCCACAGGGGCCATCTGTCTCTTTCTGACTCGCTCTGAATACACCTCGCCTGCCACAGCCCCCAGCAGACTCTTGGAGGGACATTCAGACACCACTGTGGTCACTACTGTGCTGCCTTCTCCACAGTTACCAGTGTTAGTGGCGTGTATCTGACCCGAGATACCCGCTGAGCATTTTGGTCGTGTGTCTGTCCTCCCTTTGTGGTGATTTCATTATGAACATACTAAGGCAATATTACAGTAGATGATCTTTCAGTAAACTCTTGTTTGATTTTCAGAGTTACATTCTCTCATTCAGTTCCCTGTGACACCGAATTTATTTAGCTTTTTCTACTTCTGTTTTTTTTTTTTCTTCTTTCCGTAGACAAGTTTTCAATTCCCATTCCTGGTCTAAGGTTTTGTTACTGCTCTGCCCTGTGCTCTGGACTTCTCTGTCATCTGCACCTCATCTGCAGATGGTAGTGAGAAGATACGGAAGCCACGTACAGTCCACTAAATGCTGTTGACTTAGCTCAGCACTGCCAGCTCCACCTCCTCGTTAATAAAGCAGAGTGCTTCTGAGTCACCTGTCCCCATGCAGCCTTCTTAACAACTCTTCCACAGCTTCATCCAGTGACAGGGGGTAGTTTCTGAGTAATTATTCATCTCCCTCATGCTGGTTCTAAGTGCTTGGTGTGACACTCAGTGTCATTTCATCTTGATGACAAGTCATGTGTTAGGTGATGGTAGTCTGATTTTCTACGTAAGTAAGTAAATTGGCTTCAGTCCAGGGAGGTCACTGCGCTGAGTAAACATAAGTCTGAACCCAGAACCCAGGCTCCAGACCACTGTCTTTTAGTCCTTTATGAGCATCAGACTAGAAGTTTCCTCCGCATGAACTTGCCTCCTCTCTACCTCTGTGTTTGCATGTGGCTTTCTCTGCCTGAAGTGCCCAGTCACCTCTTGTAGTTTTGGCTGTCAATCAGTTGTGGTCAGCTGGATAGCCATCAGAAACATTGGCTGAATGTTGTTTCTCCTCAAGTGGAAGTACTTCTTCCACTGACCTCAGTTTTGACATTTATTTTAATCTCAAAGTTACTGTGTGGAATTCTTACCTTGGTTACTATCTCCATGGGTACTCATGTATGAGTTCCTGTTAGTCCACAATAGAAATGAGCCAAGACCCTGAAGGCACTTGAAGTTTCCCCATGAAGTTTTTGCTTCTTAGGCTAGGAAGTGGTGAAGATGCTGGAATTCTCAGAGGCACATGACAAACACCTCTGAGATCCTGTTGCCATTCAGCTGTGGTCAGCATTGTCAATCATTTACACTCTAAAAGGAAAATCCTTAAAGTGTTAGGCCTTAGAACAGGGAACATGATCAATTTAAATTCAAACAGTGGAAGGTGATAGGAAACAACAGAGCATTCTTGTCTCCACCCTCAAGAGTAACAGTCTTGGGTTACTTTCCATTGGTTATCCAGTTGACCTCATCGTAGACCACGCCTGCTGATGGCCTCATGCTTTCTAGCATGCGGTACGTCTCAGCTTTGGTAAGGCCTCCTGAGAGATTTCTTTCCCCTTCCTTCCCTCATGTGATGGTTATTCTATGTCATTGTTTATTATCTACGTTTTCTTATTTATTTTGTTTTTATTGATTTATTACTCCCAGTGTGGATCTAGTGGCACATCTGTTTGATAGGAGCTTAGTGTCTGGCTGAAGGGACCATAGAAACTTGTGAAAGGATTGGAAAGCAGTGGATTGCTTTATGAATGTTTCCAGATGGGGATCACATAATTTTAGAACAACTTGTCAGGTGGGCAGGTGGTCAGAAGCAGTTGTACCATCCTTACTTTTCTCGAGCAACTCTTCCCTTTTTACTGCTTTGCTAGAGTCAGTAGCTTGGGCTTGAATGAGAAAGAGTACTGCTGCCAGCTTTTATACCTCCTTCAGAGCTAGGAAGATGAGAGTCTTTTCATAGGACAGTAGGTTAACAAGGCCAGAGCTGAATAGAAGTAGTAGGTTTTATCAGTTTTGAGGCAGTGTGAAGACACTTTCCCACCAGTTGGTGATTGATGAGTGCTTTTACCCCTGCAGTTGAGTGTTTGTAAACACACTACTTCTCTAGGACTTTGTCTCCAATGATTTTTATGACCTGAGCTTCCAGTACTCATGGAAGTACTTACTGTACCTAGTTTCAAAACAAAACAAAACAAAGCAAAACAGAATGTCCTGTATATCTCTGATACAGTTTATGGTTTTTTTGTTTTGTATTATTTTTATTTTTGCTGTTTTTTGTTTTAATTTTAAGACAGGGTCCCACTGTGTATTTTAGCTAGTCTGGAACTGGGCATGTAGACGAAGCTAGTCTACATACAGTTGGGAGTTGGCTGTGCCTGATGAGAATCAAACCCAGGCCCTCTGGACGAGCAGCCAGTGCTCATAAGTGCTGAGGCGTCTCTCCAGCCGCCACCTTACAGACTTTTGATTTAGAAAGTATGTAAAAAACCTAAGGGAGACAAATATACTAGATGCTCTCTTCCTTGTAACTTGTACATAAAGATACATTTGCTGTATGTGTCTCTCTCTCTTTAAAATTTATGCTCTTGTAGCCCTTGAGACTGCTACAAAGTGTAATCCCTTAAGCCTTAAAATATCCAACTTAGATACATGTTATATCAAGTTTTGAAGTATTCGATTAGTACTAAAATAGAAAAATGTAAATGTATTAAAAGCAAAGTATGTAAAATATACAAACATTTTCATAAATTAAGTTTTAACTTTAGGGTTTTAGTTATTTGAGTCAGTACAACACATGGTCCTGAGAGTAAAAGGTCGCAGAGCCCGAGGTGTCATAAACATGAATGTGTCGCACTGCATTACTGAGGAGTTCATTTTTCAATTTAGATTCTTGAAGACCTGGATGAACAAATTTATATGATTACCCTAGAAGAAGAAGCACTCCAGAGAAGACTGCATGGTATGTGTCTTACATAGTTAGATCAGGTGTAAAACTTGTTCAATTCAACAGAGACAGACACTTGAAGAATGAAAATACAACCCTCTCTGAGGCTTACAAGTGACAAAGGACCTTCCTGACACAGGGAGCCTATGAAAATTAGAGGGGGGTGGGTCAGGGCCAGAGGGTTAGCTAGCTCCCTTGGAGGTAGTAGCCACTGGGGTTCAGCAGACGTCCACAATAGCTCCTTGGACATCTGGAGTTAAAAGGTCCGCACACTGCCTCTGTGACTGGAGCCTGTTTGTTTTCTTTCTGCTGAGAGTTGAAGGTAAGAGTAGTCTTTCTTAGGAGCTCCTCCGGAATACTTTATACCAGCCTTGGGTTAGTCCTTCACCATTGGATATGTTCTCGTTGGCAAGTTGCCTTTAAAATTATTTTTGGGAAACTCTTTAATAGGATGTTGCCATGATTGGCCACTGTGGACTATTTCAGATGGAAACTAATAGGCTGAATTGTTTATTTTATAAATGATTCTAAGACCACGTCGACATTTGACTGTATTAAGAATTGTAAGCTTCTGTAGCTTATCGATTAACACCCACAGAGTGGAAGAAGCAAGAAGGAAAGAAAATTTTATGATTTGCTGTTTTAAACTTAAAAAAAATTATTCCATATATGAGTATTTTGGCTGCATGTGTGTCTGTGCACTGTGTACATACAGTGCCCATGGATGACAGAAGAAGGCATGTGATCCCTCGGAACTTGAGATAGAGATGGTGTGAGTTATTATTTGGGTGCTGAGAATCAAATCCAGGTCCTCTAGAAGAGCAAGCAGTGCTGTGAACCACTGAGCCATCTCTCCCACCCCAGTGATTTGCTAATTTTAGAAAAAAAGTAGAAGTAGGGCTTTAGTAAGATAAGCCCAACCCTTATGGATTTATTAAATATGGTATAATGCTAAATGCTTTCTGTTGTTGCAATTATTTTATTTTTTAAATCATATAAAGCCAAAGTATGTTTTACCCTTGCTCTGAGAAGAATTATAGACCAGCAAGAACATCAGACTCTTAAAAATTTGCTCATGTTGCCGCTGTGTAGAATTGATGGTGGCATTTTACTAAAGGTGCATTAGTGTGTGGGCTGTGGGGTGTTATTACAGGCAGCTTTGGGGTATATGTTTTCTCTCTATAGAGACCCTATAATTGGCTGGTGGTAAGAAGGACTTTGCTGTGGGGCTAGCACTTGTTTCACCTTGAAGGCAGCATGGCATGTTGTAGCCAGCACTCTGTACTGGCATGGAGTTTCCGTGTCTTTTTAAATGTATTAGTGTAACTGAATCATGGACTGCCTAACTGTGGCTTCTGCAGTGTTCTCCGGTACTTGGCAGTGCTGCTGTGTAAAGGGCGAATGGTTCTGTTCTTTTTCTTAAGCCATGCTAATGAAACAGCCAAGCTGTCCTTGGGTACAGGTCAGTGTCCTGAGGAAGCCATCCTGTCCTCAGCCTGTCCTCTTTCTAAACCCCAACCCTGGTTTTGTATTAGATGTGGTGCAGATGAATTAAGACTATCTCAAGATGACACACTAGTTGATTGATGGAGAAGAAAGAAAGAAAGAAAGAAAGAAAGAAAGAAAGAAAGAAAGAAAGAAAGAAAGATGAAATAGATTTAGTGTCCAAACACATAAGAGAGTAGGAGGGATCCACAGAGCTCTGCACAGAGATCTGAATTCCATGTGATCCTGGCAGCATTCCACCCCTCCTGTTCCTCCCATAGCCTTCTTTGGATGCTGCTCAAGGCAAAGGGTGTCCTTAGCCTTCATTCTCTGTGACAGGTGACAACAGATGAGTCCAGTGTTTGGACTCCTGACTCTGTGTTTCTAAGTGTCTTATTTCTGTCTGGGTTTTTATGTTTCCTAGCTCCTGTAACTTTCCATGTGCTGCTTATATCTGAAAAATCAATCCACTTGTGACTCCTACATCGTCAGTCTCCTCTTCCGGCTCTCTCCAGTGCCAGTGCCATTGTGTCCCCAGCACCTTTGTGTGGTGACTGTCTTCTCACAGCTCAGCTTTGCTCTGGGAGAGGGTAGTACGTTGTGCAGCACAGTTGAACTCTTTTCTACATGCTATCCTTTCTCCTCGGGTCCTGCTGTCTCCTCTTCTCCTCTCCAGCACTTGAATCTCTTGTAGTCATGCCATTGGTGCTAGCAGGCCATTACAGCTTCTCCTGTCACAGTAGCTTCTTGTTCCCTAGAACTCCCTTTTCTGATGGCTCTTTCTGATCTGTGTTTTTTCTACACTTGTTAGAGCCTTTCTAGTATTTTGGGAAGTGTCCTGGCCTTCTGTTCTGGTGTTCTGTCTGTCTGTAACATCTTGGCCTCGCTCTCTACACTGATCTGATGCCTGTACATCTGACACTCGGGCATCCACACTCCTAGCTAAGCCTCCTGTTTCTTCAGCTCTTTTCTTGTCACCCTCCATTTCCCACAGCCCTTCCGTATAGCCTCAGCATGCGGCCCTCTAAGTCGCCTTCACCCTCATATGTGCAGTCTTATAACCGAACCTTTTTGCTCGAGCCATATTGACTGGTAGATTAGAAGTGGAGCCTGCCTGAGTGCTTTCTCAGGTTCTCGCCTGTGTTCCAGGGCTGTGCCGTATCTGGTGAAGCCCAAGCCTTGCCTGCTCTTCCTAATTTTTGTGCTTACTCCTGATTATCTTGCTTGCTCTTCCTTCTAATATGTGACCATTCCTTAAGTTTACTTTAAATCTTTGGATGACTTTTCTTTTTAAATCATTTTTTAATCTTTTGTTTTGCTTTTGACATTATGATCCTTTTCCTTCTTTTCCTTACTCCAAACCCTCCCATATACCCTATTTGCTCTCTTTCAAATTTATGGCTGTTTTTCCATTAATTACTGTTACATACATGTGTGTATATACATATATTCATAAATGCAACCTACTCAGTCTATATAATGTTACTTGTATGTATGTTTTCAGGGCTAATCATTTGGTGTTGGATAACCAGTTATTCTACTCTCAGAATTACTTAGCTGTGTTGCAGGATATCTGATCACACTTTGAACCCTGAAATTGTGTTACTTACTGAAAAAGAAAACTTTTTCTAGTTGTGGTGTGTCTCAGCCTTTAGCACACACTTTTAATCCCTCTGGCTAGAATACAGATGCAATTTTAGTGCATAGTTTTAATTCTAAACAATGAAGGTAAAGTTAGTTTGTAGAAGGAAGCACCATGCTTGAAAGGATGTCTAATTGAGTAGCAGACAAAGTGACTAATCAGGGAAAGATTTGACAGAAAAGGATTTTTCCAGCTCTCACCAGAAGAGAGAGGAAAGGGAAGCTACTTAAGAGAGCAGTGCAGAGAGGAAGGAGGCGGTTTCACTGGGACAGTTACACAGAGTGACTGCATAGAGAGACTAAGCTAGACAGATGAAGGCAGAGTGAGCCAGAGAATGAGAAGGAGCCAGAAAATTAGAGCATATTGCCAAAGTTAGTCTGAGACCAAGCAGACCAGTTTAGGAGAGGCCAAGAGAGAGACTCAGAGTGAATCAGTCAGCTGGGAGAGGAGCTTGAGTCACAACAGCTGAGTTGAACCAGGCAATGAGAGGTCAGAAAGAACTAGAAAGGGTGAGCTTACTCAGCAGTAAATCTCAGAGGCTGAAAACATTCTAGGCCTAGAGAAGATTGTAAGGAGGCTAGAAGCTCCCAGGACCACTCCTAGGTTAGCAGTAAGCCTTGGAGATGACAATCACCCAGGCAAATGAAAGTTACTTTTACATAGTTACCTGTAATTCTTTGGGTACAGTTGAGGCCTATGGAACAATAAGTAAAGACAAGGTAATTGAAGCTACCTCCTGATCTCTAGGGCGGGGCATGGGAGAGTGGGACAGCAGGAATCCCTGGATCTAGTGTAGGCTTTTGAAACCTCAAACTCTACCCCCCAGTATTTTCAACAAGGCTACACTTCCTAATCCTTCTAATTTTTTCAAAACAGTTCCACTCCCTGGTGGCTAAGAATTCAAATATATTAGCCTATAGGGGCCATTCTTATTCAAACCACCACACTCCTACTCACAGTAGTCTCAAAGAAGATAAAATACCTATGAATAAACCTTACCAAGGTAGTAAAGGACCTCAACAATGAAAACTTTAAACCTCTGAAGAGAGATAAAGACACTAGAAAAATCGAACAACATCCCATGCTCATGGATTGGTAAAATTAATATTGTGAAAATAAATATTTTTATTTAAAACTATTTATAGATTCAGTGCAATCCCAGTCACAATCATGATCTCATTCTTCCCAGAAATAAAAATAACTGTCTTACAATTCCTATGGAATCACAAAGACCTGGGGCAGTCAAAACAATCCTGAGCTAAAAAGGACAGCGCTGGAGGGATCACCATTCCAGATTTAAGATCAATAACAAAGCTATAGTAATACAAACAGTATGGTACTGTCACAGAAATAGACAGACCAATGGAACAAAATCCAAGATCCAAACATGAATATGTGTATAACTTCAGCCATTTAATATTTGACAAAGATGTCAAAAAGATAAGCTGGAAAAACGAAAGCATCTTCAATAAGTGGTGCTGGGAAAACTGGATGTCCACCAGCAAGAAGAGCTGTATCTACTGGACATCCACCAGCAAGAAGAGCTGTATCTACTTGATGTCCACCAGTAAGAAGAGCTGTATCTATCATCTTGCACAAAAACTAACTCCAAATGGAGCAAAGGGCTAAATTTGAAACCTGAAACACTGAAGCTGCTAGCAGAAAACATAGGAACCACTGTACATCATATAGGTATAGGAAAGTACTTTCTGAATAGGACTTCATTTGCCAAAGAAGTGTGGCCAACAGTTGACAAGTGGGACTTCATTAAACTAAAAAGCTTCTGCACACATTAAACAACCATGTGAAGAAGAAGCCTGTAGAGTGGGAGAGAAACTTTGCCAACTACAGATCTGACAGAGAATTAATATCCAGAACACACACACAC